CTGTGTGCAGTAGGCCAAGACACCCTGGGCGGACCGGGTAGACTGCAGGCCCCGGGCCCGACAAATCTAGTCAGGCCGAAGGCCCAGCGAGCGGTCCGGATAAGCTGAAGGCCCGGAGGAGGGCGGTCCAGACGTGCTGAGGGCTCGGAGAGCGGTCCAGATAGAATGAGGACCGGGAGTCGGTCCAATCAGACTGATGGCTCATTATGCATGTTGTATCTGTTTGCTTATATGTTACGATTATGACAGTATAGCGTTGGTATTTTGGGGGTAACTCACTAAGCCTTCGAGCTTACCTTTATCAATTATTGTTTCAGCTACTTCTGATGATCGCGGGAAGGCAAAGGCGTGATCGTACCGCTCCTCACATTTTATGTTTTTATGATTTGATTCTGGGATACTCTGACAATATACTATTTTGAAAAACAAGTTTGTATTAATCATGTGGTTTGAAACGTTTTAAAAAGTTTTAAATTTGGCTCAAATTTTGTGGATGTTTCACAAACAATACCCAATTAATAATTGGGTTCCAAGCCCAAGGTCCAACTCACACTACAAAAGCCCAAAAGTCAAATAATGGGCCAAAGCCCAACACATGGCCCAATTTTCCAAATTGGGCCCATACCTCTACGTGGTCTTTCCTTAAGACCCATCCAACTATTCCAATCCAATTCCCATGGCCCAATATCACATAATCATAAAGGCACAATTATGGCCCATCTATGGCCTAATTTCCAAATTGGGCCCAAGTCCTCACATGGGCCTTATCCTAAATCCCATCTAATTATTTTGGTTCATTAACTTGTTCTTGGATAGCCCATCAATAGTCCAATCCCAAAGCCCAATAGGAAGGCCCAACTCAAGGGCCATGTGAAATTACGGTTTTCACATTAAATGACGATTAGGGTTAAGTGTTCCTACTTAACCCATTAAAGACTTAATCCACTAAGGACTTAATTCATTAAGTCCAATATTGCTTTAGGTTAATTTGCAATTGATCATTAATTAATATTTTAAGTTTATTAAATAATTCTCGTGTGTGTCCCGATCAATTCCCACAAATTAGATTTTATGCCATTAGGGTTTTCCAAACCCTAATTAGGGTTTTCCAACCCAATACTAGCCCATTAGTCAATTGGTTGGGCTTTTAGGTCACTTTGGGCCTTATTGGGCCCATTAGGGTCTCTTTGGGTCCACTAAGGTCTCTTTGGGCCCAATTCTGTCCAAGCATCCCCAAACGAGTCCAAAACAAAAACAGAGCACACCGCAACCCAACACAGTGGCTGGTGGCAGTAGGAGGCGATAGCCACCACCCTACAGTGGTGGTTTTTGAGTTTCTATTACCATTCCGACATCGATTACAGTTTACAGCACAATTCCGATATCACACACTCACACACTAATATAACATACACACACATATAGAGACACACACACAGCCACCACCACGCGGCGGTTGGTGGTGGCAGAACAGAAAGGTGGCGATAACCACCTTGGTTGGTAGCCATGGTGGTTTTTCCATGGTTTCCGGCCAAAAGGGCACAACCACCCACGTGAAGCAACACCCAAAATGCACACAACAAGATCTGGCCACGTAAACACACCCATCAGCGACCTGAAGGGGGCAAGTGGTGGTAGATGGCGGCAGGAAAGCGGCAGCAGCAGCACCATCTGCGACAACCACCATGGCCGGCAGCCATGGTGGTTTTTTCTTGGGTCTTTTCTGGCCAAATGAACACCTACACCCACATTCCATCAACCACATCAAGCTCTTACGGAAAAAGCATCCAATCTCAGCCACCCCTGTGGTGGCGTGAGGCAGTCGAACGGAGAAGAGAGAAGAGAAGAAGAAAGTGCGGAGGAAGGATAACACAACAGCAGTAGCGATACCGCTATCATCTTACGGTTTTCTAGCGACCCAAGCGGAACCCTTGTTGTTCACGACATCACAGGCGGCAGGAATGAGGGTGGTGTTCCGACGTCGGCGTTCACGGCTCCAAACGGTCTTCGGCGGTCCACAGCAACGACAAAAACACGTCACAGTTCGTGGTCCATGTCGGCGATGGAAGCAACTACGAGTTGGATGGTCGATGGCTCGCATCGGTGGTTATGGAGGGGAGACGGCTGGAGAGGAGAGATGGTGAAGGTGGCGGCTGGAGATGGCGTTATTAGGGTTAGGGCATGGGCAATGGAACAGTTTTATGCCCGTTCCATACAAACTATGGACCAAATTGACGGAATTAGTCCCTCCTCCTCCCTTTTCTTTCAAAACCAATCCTTAATTTACCCTTTAAACCCTTGCTCCCATAATTCTTTTCGATATAAGTCCAACAGTTACAAAACAACCCCTCCTCTACAAATTATTCCCAATTAAGATCCATAAATTACCATTTCTACCCTGGCTTCAAGAATCCCTCTCAGAATAAGTATGATATTTACTCTTTAACCCTCCAAACTCAAAAGTATATCATTTGGCACCCCCGAAACCAACACCCCACTAATTATTATTTGTTTTTGGGCTATAATAATCTAAAATAATAATAAAATTACTTCTCGGGGTTTCCGGGTTTATTATTAAATTATTCTATTTTAAACGGGATGTTACAACAAATGTTACATTTTTATGACTCAAAACACTCCAAAATGTCTTAAAGGACAACTCATATGATTTAGAGTAAACGATACTTATAATAACAAGATTATGGGACCAAAATGAACACAAATCCATGACTAACAAGATATATACAAACTTCATCAAGATCAGAGTTTTTTACCTCTAAGTGATGCAAAATGATGATGTGATTCTGGATCTAGGTTGTCTTTGAGCTCCCAATATGATTCCACTCACTTCTTCCTCCTTCAAGATCACCAAAATACACACTCAAGGTCAAAAATGACCTCACAAGAGATTAGGGTTAGCCAGGGTCGAAGATGGGGATGGAGGCTAGTGAATGAAGGGGGGTTTTAGGAGTTAAGGATGTTTAAATAGGGTTCAAACCCTAAAATTTAGGGTTTGGCCTTCGGCCACATACGCCCAACGTATAAAGAGTACACCTAGCGTACTAGGCAAATGCGTTTTCCTCATTAATCCACCATGGGACCAATTTTGCAATAACTTTCATATTAAGGGGCAAAAATATAAATTACCTGAATCATGAATTATATATATATATATATATAGATAATATATATATATATATATATATATATATATATATATATATATACACGGAGGTGAGTTATTTTGAGAACTTAATGATCTGCGAGAACTCGAAAACTCCTAATGCGCTCATCATTTTTCAAAACCAAGACCACCAATATATTCATTAAATGGTGTGTATGGTGTGTTTAAACTGTATCTAGGCTATAAAAAAAGTTGACGGTTTTTTTTTTAAATGTGCATGTATGCACATTTGATTGTTCACACACACACACACACACACACACACACACACATATATATATATATATATATATATATATATATATATATATATATATATGTAGGTTCAAATGTTTCTCACATCTATTGTGTGCTAGAATGCACCAATAAGAATTTAGTATTAATTATATGTATATTAAATGCTATCCATACTTATAATTAATTTTTATGGAAACTAATTAAATTCTTCATTAATGTCAACAATAATATTCTTTCAGAATGAATTCATATCTAGCAGAATGAGAGTGTATTCTAGTAGAATACACTCTCGTTCTTCATATTCCATGCAACTTTATTGTATTTTAAGTGAGTGACTCCTGAAACAAAATACGAACTCATATATAAAAACCTAGATGCAAATTTATTCTGAAAGAATGTTATTGCTGACATAAATTACGGATTTAATTAGTTTCCATAAAAAGAGAATTATAATTATAGATATCATTTAATATACATATAATTATGGAAATCATTTAATATCTATATTTATTTAATTAAATAATTATTTAATTTACTAAATTCCTATTGGTGCATTATAGCACACAATAAATGTAAGAAACAAAATAACCTATATATATATATATATATATATATATATATATATATATATATATATATATATATATATATATATTTGGTGCATTCTAGCACACAATAAATGTAAGAAACAAAATAACCTAGCTATATATATATATATATTGATATCAAACGTGTTCCCAATTGTAGGACACTGTTTTAAGGGATATATATAAAAAAAATACAATTAATTATGCATGTATATGTAGAAAACCTCTGATATTATTTTTATGTTCAAAAACCTCCTTATTTTATTATTTACGTTTAAAATAAAATCAAATTATAAATTTTTAGGAGAAATGACCGGCTAAAAATATGATATAACATACATATTTCTTATATTTTTTTGATTGTATGTGAAAACATGTCAAAATTTACATTTATTTCGATTACCTTTGTTCTACTGTTTTCTCCATATGGAATTATATGATTGATTTTTTCCTCTTTAACTAATCATTTTTATCATAACTAACATCGGTGTAGTATTAAAAATCAAAAATGCAAACAATTAGATTTGTAGTCGTCAATTTCTCTTAAAAATTCGTATTTAGGCCTTCTTTTTTTTGAATGGTAAATCTTAATATAAAGATTTTTATGAACATAAAAATAATATAAAAATAATATAAGGTTTTTCTGGACATGCATATAAAATTAGTTGGGTTTTTTTTATATATCTCCTGTTTTTAAGACGAAAAAATATATAATTATTCTGAATTAAAAATATATAATCTAAATGATAATCAATGTGAATCACACTGCTACCTTTTACGTTTTACATATAAAAAGTCATTTATAACAATTATATTTTCGGGTGAAAGTTTAACTTCAATTATACACTTGTTTTCTTTTGCTTGCGAATTTATTCTCTTAAGTTCTCCAAATTCTATTTTAATAATTTCAAATTTTGAAATATTTATGGCTTCTACAACGTATTAATTCGCGATAAATATAAGGAGTTTCAGATTTTCTGTTGAAACGGAAAATGCGGTGTGGAGGGAGATCGGCGAAGCCTGGAAAAGAAGGATTGGTACCGGTGTTCCTCAATGTCTACGATCTTACCTCCATGAATAGCTACGCTTACTGGCTCGGCCTCGGCGTCTATCACTCCGGCGTGCAAGGTATGGATTTTTTTTATCGATACACGTTTCCTCTTCTCTCCCATCGATGTCCTCTAAATGAAGTTATTGACTCTTCGTTTATGATCGATTGAAAATCTAGGAAGTTAAGAGTACTTTTGATTTTTGCTGTTTGATTTTGTGATTTTAGTTCATGGAGTGGAATATGCGTTTGGATCTCATGAACATGCGACGACTGGAATCTCCGGGGGAGAACCGAGACAGGGCCATGGATTTGCATTTAGAAAGCAGATTCTGATAGGATTTACAGAGAAGAAGTGGATGGAGGTTAGAGGAGTTATGGAAGAGCTTGCTGAAGACTACAAAGGAAATTCATATAATCTCATCGCCAGAAATTGCAACCACTTCTGCAATGATGCGTGTGTTAGACTCACCGGAAACACGATTCCAAGTTGGATTAATCGTCTCGCGAAGATAGGTACGCCGTACTATCGTTGGAATCTACATTCTACAAAAACCGAAATCAAATACGAATTCCACATGTTTTTTTGCATTAGCGGTGGTTATAAAATCGTGAATCCCTCGTTTATGCTCCGAACTCTGTTTTTTTGCCGGTGAAATATTCAGGTTCGTTGTGCAGCTGTATAATTCCGGCGAGCGTAAATTCGATTAAAGTCGGAATCAAGGCTAACAAAGTGCATAATGAAGGAGAAATTAGCAAGAATCACAGAAGCCGATCTGGAAACGGAAGGTACGCGGCTTCGTCTTCGAATTCTTCATTGTCGTCTGAGAAATCATCATTGCCATTATATCCTGTTGTTGATCGGAGCAGAAGTCATAGAAGTAAAGCTTCTCTACCTCCATCTTCACCTATGATTCTTAATTTTTGTTTTTCTTCTCACGCATCACCTTAGCTTCATTAGTATTTTTTTATCACTTTAATCTATCTCGTTTGTGTTTCTAATTGTTTTTTAAAAAAAAATTGGATATTTTATATATGAATCATTGCTTCCGGAATCAATTTTTTCCATGTTCAGACGTTTTTCCATCTAAATGTAGATAAGTAGGCAAAGTATATTAGGACCAAGCAGTTAAAGTATATCAACAATTTTTCATTTGACGTTGTGAAAATTATATCATTTTTCAGTCACATTCCATGACTAATTTCTTTTATCAATCTTTAACTATTTGTATGGAATCAATCATAAATCCTAATATGATAATCCCATAAGAAATTTAGTGCTACGTGCAATATGCCAAATAATAATCATCACTATGCGTAAGTTTAAGAATTAGAATTACATGTTTGTTTGTCATTATCATTTTTCTGCATGAATAAACAGTTAGTGTGTTACTTTGGATGTAAACCTATTATATGAAGTAACAATGTCTATTTTTCCTGTTATTTACTAGGTTAGAAACCTATGGAAACCACGAGTTTATAAGACAGACAATGAAAGTAGATTGACAAAATAAGAAAATTTTAAAAATTCACAATATACTAAATTGAAGTATGATTGTCGATATAGAATGATATTATACTTTAATAAATAAGACTTAAAAGTATTGCATGAAAATAGTACAAATTTGAAGTATAATGTTGAAAAAAAATATTTTTGTAAGTAAAATGATGTACATAAACATTTAATAAGGAAAACATTCGATGCTTAATAATGAAGACTAAGGAAGGATTAAAGAATACTCTCATATACTATATGATTGCTATTATAAATACATAGTTGCACTAAAAATTTAAAACAATAATATTCAAAATTGAACTAAAAGAATTTAAAAATCTGCAAACACTTCTTTGTATAGGTTAATAATCGAATTATTGATTTGCTTATTTAATGAATTTTAAAATTCAAATTGAGAATGTATTCAGTTTATTTAAAATAATAATGAAATGCACCAGACATATTAAAATATAACATTCAACATGAAAATACAAAATGATAAAATATTTTCTTTTATTGTAACATTCTAATCTAATCTTTATAGCATAAAGTTTTTTTAATCTATTTTATAAAATCCAATGCAGTTAATGCATCAAAATGTAATAATGTATATCATTACCCGAATAAATAGAAATAAAATATGCTTAATATGGATCTAAAGTGGATGGAAAATGAATAAGCAACATTTGGTTTTTTTTTCCACATCTAATATTTTTCATCTGTTGTTGTGTTTGACTTCTTATCTGTTTTTTATTTAAAATTATTATCGGATACCATTTATGGATTTTGTAAGTTTAATAGACTTTTTTTTATCTGAAACCCAAATTTGTTGTAATTAATCTATGATAGGTAAGAAAAAAAATGTTAAATCTTTGGCTTTTCAAAGATAAGTGAATAAAATTAGGAACAAATTTCGTTTAAAAATAAATAAATAAATAAAGAGGAATGTATTTTGAAATCAAAAGTTATAATTAAGAAAGTTAAATTAGGAAAAATATTAATTATATTTATTGATTTCCTTTTTATTAAATCTAAGCGGGGAAAAATTTTGGCATTGCCACGTGGCATCATTAGATAACTTAATACTCTAAAAAGATGTCATTTGGCACATAATTATTAATATTTACTATTAAGTAGTATAGATATAGATAAGTTTAATATGAAATAATCATCATGGAAAGTAATTTAACATTAATCTTTAACTTATTCGAAGTATTTGCTCGGTTTCATTTTCATATATATTGGTATTATATAACCTCTAAGAGATAATACGATAAAGACAAAATTCCATAAATGGTACATAAGTTTTTCATTTTGTCCCTAAAATAATCTTTATGAAACATTTTTCATATGGATGGTCTCTACGGAGCAAACCTTGTACACAAATAGTCATTTTGATGGATGTTCGTTAGATAAATCTATTAAGTTGAAGAAATTTTGGATAAAGACATTTTTGCCATTTTTTGAAACTATGTCTAAGGATCATTCATGAAATTTCGCCTAATGATCATTTCTGTCATTTTGTGAAACGGCCTAAGGACCATTTGTGAAATTTCGCATAATGATTATTTGTGAAATTTTAAAGAAGCCCATCAAATCTTGTATTAATTACCATAAAATAAAAGGACAAAAAACTAAAACACATAAAATATAATATTTATGTTAATAAAAATTAAAACTTGCAAATTTTAATGATCATGCAAATATATTTTATTTAATATATAAGTAATTTTTGTTGCTTAAACTTTATATAAAATATTCAAACTACAATACATTATTAAATATTTTCTTTTCTAATTTTTATCTAAAAAATTTGAAGTATAAAAACATCATT